TGCCCTCTTCCCTCTTTAATGTACTAGTTAGTTAATGTAAGATTATAATGAGAATTATACTATTTAATCAAATTTGGTTTGTCTTTTTCTGTCATGATTATGAAAGAGTGTGTATGTATGTGTGTGACAGAGAGAAAGAGAGAGAGAGTGAAAGAAAGAAAAGCAAGCATGAGTACACGAATGGGGATGTTAGACTTCTGAACCTCTTATGTCTACAGAGATATATACATCCATTGCCAAACAGTTTGCAGTTGTAATAATCTGGATATGTATATTTCATGATGCACTTTTAATGTTTATATAAAATAACAAATGTTTGCTGACTGTATAAACAGCAAAATATATATTATGGAAGACATAGGATAGCTTTAAAAATGGTCTGTTTGCTAAGAGAACGGTCATAGGAATGACATCAGCTTTTCTGTGGAGTACAATATTGAGAACACATATACAGATTATTTTTTTTTTAATTAAAAAAATATGCTTTTGTTTGTTCCCCAGTAGGAAAAAAAAAACTAGAAATAAAAATACAATGAACTTTTCCATTGAACCATCGTATTTACAGCAACTCTATCTTATTAGTATGTTTTCTTCCTTCTACACATTTTAATTGGAGTCCTGGTGTGGTACTGTGAGTTAATACACTGGCCTACAAAGTTGATTTGAACTGCAGTCACCGGTTCAAGCTCCCAGTCACTCCTCAGAAACCCAATACAGGGTCACTATGGGCCAGAACAGACTTGATGGCACTTACAGCAACAACAACAAATTTAAATTACTCTAGGCTTTATTCTTAAAGTCATTTTTAATGACTTTATTCTTAAAGTCATTTTTAATAGATCAAATAGATCTATTTGAGATCTATAGCTAATATCATGGACATTTGACCCATGCTATTTGGATAAAATTATTTTTGACTTAGATTAATAACAAATCCATTATATTTCAGAGTATGAATATTAGCAAAAAGACTGTAAAACAGACATCATAAACCTTTCCTTGACCTTTTATTAGTTTTTTATT